TTCCCTTCATCAGTGTATTTCAGTAGGTCTGCCTGTTCTGTTTCTTATGCTGTCTCTGGTGAATTCTCTCACTTCCCACACCTCTGCCCTATACCCCAGCTCTTGTATACATAAATAAATAAAAATTTTAAAAATAATTAAGAAAAAGAAATTACTATGAATTTTGCTGGGTGGGATAGTGGGAATGTGATTAAACTTTAAAAACTTCAAAGGAGGGATGGGAAACCCGCGGGGATTACAATTGAGATGGAGAAAAAAATGTACAAAATGATGTAAAAATAAACTTTTGTAATTAAAAAAAAAAAAACTTCAAAGGGGTATTCAGGAGAACTTACAATGAAATGACACTATATTTGGAATAGGATTTAATATACAAATGGGTGGGAGTGAGAAAGGAACCAAGAATGGCAGATGGTAAATCACTGTTAAAACCAAGTGGTAGGTATTAGGTCCTCAATGTTTACTATATTATTCAATTTCTGTCTGTGTATGTTTGAAATTTTCCAGACATTTGTCCAAATGTTATTTGATATTGTTCCCTCAGCTTTAAATGAAAAAAGAGAAGAAAAGAAAAATCTATTTGCAGTGGAACAAACCAGGACTCCAGAACCCCAAGCTCCCTCCAATTATTCTCCTAAGTAGCTTTTTCTTACCAAGGTCCTATTTTCGTTTTCTTATTCCTCATAATTCACATTTTCCTTCTTCCCTATTTTTCTCCCAGTGTTTCTTTAATTTTTGTCATACTTTATCAGACAATCACCTTGGTGGTAGGAAAGTGCCAGACAAAACCTCCAGCAAACTTTGCTTTTCCCACCATTTTTTGCATTTGCACACTTTTTTTTATATAATAGTTTATTTTTCCATTATTTTGTGTATTTTTCCACCTCAGTTGCAATCCCCGTGGGCTTCCCATCACCAAATCACCCTGTGCCATCACCATAGTGCAGTGCATTTCTCTCCCCCCACTGCTTTTGATCCCACTCCCCACTCCACCCCCACAAAATGTCTCTGGTATATAGCTGCTCATCATTATCATTAGTTTCTCGCCTGGTCCGTTATATTCCTGCTATGAGAGAAACCGTCTGGTATTTTTCCTTTTCTTTATGGTTTATTTCACTAGGCATGATCTTTTCCAGCTCCATCGATGTTACTGCAAAAGGCATGTGTTTCTTTTTTTTTTCTCTTTTTGGTTGCTGAGTAATATTCCATTGTATGTATGTACCACATCTTTTTAATCCAGTCATTGGATTTATACACTTTGAAGGAAAAGTGAAAGAATTGTAACACTTGCTTTTGTGGATCAAGCAAGAGCTCTCATGTATACCCCGGATATAATCTATCCTAGAGAATCTCATCTCTGCCAATTGGGACCGGAAGCTCCAGGCTGGCAGGGAGAAAGTTTAAATGATCTGGGAGTAGCCCTCATGACTGGGTTTAGAGGCAGTAAAAGTCCCCTGGAGGGTTAGTGACTAAAAACCCCAAGGGAACTAATTCCAGCTTAACCAATAACTGCATGAAAAGGACAACAAGCTAGGACTGGTGCTCTGGGTTCTACTCTTGATTTTAGGAGCAGAGCAAGTATGTATTTTCATTTCCATGCTTGTTGTAGAAGAGGAAAAAAATCTCTACGTTTCCTTTAAGTGTTAATACTGACTTCTCATGCTTAAGTACATCAGAAATGTCACCCACAGCCATGTTCTGACCCTGAGAGGACACAAGTTATACACCTGTGTCTAAATTTGGATCAATCCTTCGATATCCTTAACTGAATAGAAAATTTTTCAATTTTCAGTTAAGAACAGTTTTCACTTACTGAATAAACATTGGGTCAACATGGATATCAGAAAGTATCTTGATACTAATGAAACAAAAATCCAGGGCCAGATGGCTTCAACTGATAAATTCTGTCAAACATTCAGAGAAGAATTAATTAACACCTATCATTCTCAAAGACTTCCAAAAACAAAACAGGAAAAGGAGTCTATTCATTTCATCAGGCTAGCATTACCCTGACACCAAAACCAGATAAGAAAAAATATTGTAGGCCATTATGAACATTGATGCAAATATCCCCAATAAAATATTAGCAAACCAGATTCAATCACATATCAAAGTGTTCAAGCACCAGGATTAAATGGGAGTTAAGTCTCAGCACTATCAAGCTGCAACCCCTGCAGCATGAGTTTAATCCCCAGCCAGGGAGCTGACCCACATGACACAGCAGACCTCTCAAGAGGAAAAATATTCCAAGTTTACAGATTGGAAGAATTAACCTTGTTAAGATGGTCATTTTACCTAAAGTGATCTACAGATTCAGTGCAATCCCTATCAAAATTCCAATGACATTTACCATAGAAATAGAACAATCCTAAAATTTGTATGGAACCACAGAAGCCTCAAATAACCAAAACAGTCTTGACAAAAAAGACCAAAGTAAGAGGAATCATGCTTTCTGATTTCAAATCATATTACAAAGAATTAGAATTAAAACAGATTGGTATTTTCATAAAAGTGCACATCATAGATCAACGGAAAAGAAAGGACCCAGAAATAAACCCAGGTATATATGGCTGATTAATTTATAAGAGAGGAGCCAAAAAAGGTATAATGAAGAGAGGTGTTTCTTCAATAAATGGTGTTGAGAAAAAAACACTCACCTACAAAAAAAAAAAAAATTGAACCACCATCCACAAAAATTAACTCAAAATGGATTAGAACATAAGACCTGTAACCATAAAACTCCTCAAACAAAACATAGGTGGCAAACTCCTTAGTATTGGTTTTGGCTATGATTTTTTTTTTTTTGTATTTCACTTGAAAAAAATAGACAAACGAGATTACATCAAACTAAAAAGTTTGAAACAACAAAGGAAACTACTACCAAAATGAAATGTTTCTACCAAGTGGGAGAAAATATTTTCAAATCATATATCTAGAAAGGATTAATATCCAGTATAAAATGAGCTCTTATAACCCAATAAGCAAAAAGTGGATAAAAACATCTGACTGGGTCATTTTCCAAAGAAGATATGCAGGTGGCCAACAGGTACATGAAAAGACGCTGAACATCACTTATCACTAGCAAAATGCAAATCAAAACCACAATAAGAAATCATCTTATAACTGCCAAAATGGCTATTTTTTTCAAGATTTGTTTACTTATGCGTACAACAGCTGGGGTATAAGCCAGAGGTGCAGGGTGGGTGAGCAGAGACAGAGTGGGGAGCAGAACAGGAAGATCAACAAAGTATACTGCTAAGAGGAGCAGTGAACAGGTCAGGAGAGGTCTGCTGCACCATGTGGGTCAGCTCCCTAGCAAGGAATCAAACTCATGCTGCCAATAATGTCACAGTGCTGAGACCTAAGCCCCTTGTGCCACCAAGGAGGCTCAGGATGGCTATTATCAAAAGGATAAGCAACAACAAGTGTTTACAAGGATGTGGGAAAAGGGGAACCCTTGTGCATTAATGGTGGGAATGTGAGTTGGTATAACGACTATGAAAATTGTACAGAGTCCTCAAAAAGTGAAAACAAAATTCCCATCTGAGTAGGCTATTCAACTTCTGATTATTTATTTATTAAAGAGTTATTTTATGTATTTATGCATACAAGAACCGGGGTGTAGGCCAGAGGTGCAGGGGGGTGAGATGATTCACTTGAGACAGAGTGGGGAGCAAAACAGGTGGACCTACTGAAATATACTGCAGAGGAGAGATCAGCTCCTGTACCATGTGTGTAGCTCCTTGGCTGGGGATCCAACTCACATTGCAGTGGTGCTGATAGATTGATAGTCTGAGATTTTAATCCCTGTGCCACCAGGAAGGCCCCCATTTCTAATTATTTATTTGATAAAAACTAAAACACTAATTCAAAAAGATATCTACGACATGGGTTCATTGCAGCAATACACATAATCACCAAGATATGAAAGCAATCACAATCTCCCATCATGGGTGAGTGGATAAAGAAAACGTGGTGTGTATATATGTGTGTGTGTATACAATGGAATATTATTCAGTGATAAAACAGTAGAAAATCCTGCCATTTGAGATATCATGGATGGAACTTGAAGCATTATGTTAAAAGAAGTAGCAGACAGGAAAAGACAAATACTATGTAATAATAATTACATGTGGAGTCTATAAACAAGAAAGCATGTAGATACAGAGATTAGAGGTTGTCAGCTGCACAAGGCAAGAGGTAGCTGAAGTGGGTAAAGAGGTTCAAAAGGTATAAACTACCACTTATAAAATAAGTCATGCAGGTAAAATGTACAGCATGGTGACTATATTTAATGACACTGTAATGTCCATTTAAAAATTTCTGAGAGTAGGTCTTAAAAATTCTCATAACAGCCCTCCCTGATGGCGCAGCGGGTTAAAGCACAGCACTAAGAAGCTAAAGCCACTTCCTCATGAGTTCAATTCCCGCCTGTCCCAGAGGTGACCACGTGGCGCGGCAGACCTCTCCTGACCCGCCCACTGCTCCCCTCAGCAGTGTACTTCGTCAATCTGCCTGTTCTGCTCCCCACTCTGTCTCTGGTGAATCTTCTCACCTTCTGCATATCTGCCCTGTACCCCAGTTCTGTATGCATAAATAAATAAATCTTTAAAAAAAATTCACATCACACAAAAGTGAAAAATTTGTGTCTATTTCTAGTGGTGGCTGTTATCTATTTATTGTGGTGATTTCACAATATTTCCAAATAGCTAATTATTTTACTGTACACCTGAAACTAATACATTCTTATGTATCAATAATGCCTCAAGTTAAACCTCCATGAACTCGTGTTTTCAGTCTTTCCTATGGCAAAGGAGAAGGAGTTTTATGTGTGTGAAACAGGACTTGATGTGTGAAATAGGACTTTACCCGAAGGAGCAAAAATGCCTAAGGACCCAGGTGGTAGGAACATACAGTCCTGTCTCTTTGGCAGGCAGTACATGCTAAGGAGCAACAGTGGTAGGTTTGGAGTTAGCCAGTGTCCAGGGCCATGGACTCACCGAGATCTTGGTGAAAATGTAGAGCAACAAGGAGAGAACGGAGAGGTAGCACTGGATCCGCTTGCCTCCAAATCGCTTCCGCAGGTACTCGGGCATTGTCACCACCTGCATTGGATGGAAGGGAGGTTATCACTTGCAAGAGTGACCAGAAGGTCCAGAGCAAGCAGAGCAGGGGCAGCCACTCCTGTGTCAGTCTGCAAGGTAGCCACATGCCTCCCACCCCGCTCTGGTCTTCAGCCATTCGCTTAGCTCACTCCACAGGCTCTAACTGTATTGTCCCAGCACTCAGAAGACCCATGAAAACTTGTCAAAGAACACATGATGTGTAGACTGAACAAGCAGATCTTTGCCCCTTTAACTCCTAAATAAAGCATTAATTTCTATACAAAGCACCTTCTGTGAAGACATCATCATCACAATCGTGCATCTTTTCAGAGCACCAACCAAGATGACCAGGCTGGATGTATGCTTCAACCTGCCCCATGCCCAGACCTTGCCAAGGATTGTGGTTGCAGACCTGCTCAGCTGTTGTCCCAGTTTCTCTCTGCAAATGCCAACCATACTTCTATCTCATACCCTCACCCTCAAGCCTTCTGATTCCTGGGATGAGATATGTGTCACCAATTGTCTATGAGCCTCCAGAAAATGCATTTTGCTCTGTATTTCTTCCATACTGTTTTCAGTAACTAATGGGTAGACTTACATGTGGTAGGTGCTCATTATATTTCACTGAGCAAATGATACCAAAGCTGTTTTAAGTAAAATGTCAGACATTCAGCCCAGAGACCAAGCATGCATTTCATAGTTCAATACCAGCTTCATGCTCAGCAACTAAAGCTATTTGTGTATGTAAATAAAAGGAAAATATAATTATTCTTCTCATGTTTCTTCCTTTCCAGAGGCAGAGGCAATTAGTTCTATATCATGAACAAATACCTGGTATGTCCTTATAAGCACACCCAAGTGAGGGGAATTGATGCTTCAGAGGGCAGTGAAGAGAGTGAGGTCACTTAGGAGGGCTTCCCAGAGGCAGAAGCCATGGCTGAGTGGACCTGCTTGATGCCCCTGAGAGCAGTCAGGAACTTTATAACCTGGAAGTCAAGATACAGATTTTCTCCACTATTTGTCCCAGAAGGTCTCCTCTGCCTTCTAGGAGGGTTAAGCTTACATATATATCTGCCATCAGGAAGTGAAATAACAGCAGCTACTTACTCCAGCTTTAATGTAAATTGGAACAAACACCCAACCAAGCACAACCACCAAAACCAGGGCCTGAAACCAAAGAAAAGACAGAATCAAATTAGAAAGAAAGTTAGCCTATTCTGCTCCCTAACGAACCCAGTGCTGCAAAATAATCACCTAGACTTTAATCTTTGGGCTCTGAGGACTTCTCCCTTGTGGCCATCAGAGACTGGATGAGGCTGTTGCTGCTTGGCCCATGGGAACAGCAATGGGGCAGCAGTGAAAGGAAGCCCAGGCTGCCCACTGACATTAGAGCTCCTTTTGCCTCTTCCCTGATTCATGAGAAGTAAAGTACCATTGAGATATCTTTTGTTAAACAATAACAACTGAAATCTGGTAAGCATTTTCAAATCTCCAATATGCCTAAAAGGACACAGAGAGTTGTTTTTTTTTTTTTAAGATAAAAAGTAAACGCTATTGCCATCATGTCAGTAGTTCTCTTCTGTTACGCTCATGAAAAGGGAGCAGAGCTTGGGGCTCCTGAAATGGTGCCCATCCTCCAAGTTCATCTCAGGGTGGCCCCGAGAGGTTACCTAACACTTGGGACATCTCTGAGCATAGATTGAACTGACTGATGTTAAATTTCCTTCCAGCTTCATGGCTGTTTCTGATGTTACTCACGTTCCACTCAAAACCCCCAGTGGCGATGCCTGCAGCTGCTCCAGTCCCTGCCAATCCCACAAAGTGGCCACTTCCGATGTTACTGGCAAAGAGGGAGGCTCCAATCTGGAAAAGATAAAGTCAAATGATGGAATACTACTCAGCTGTAAAAACAGATGAAATCTTGCCATTTAAGACAATATAGATGGAGCTGGATTGGATTATAGTAGAGAATTAAGTTAGAAGCAGAAAGCTACATATCCAATAATTTCACTTATAAGTTAACAGAGAGAATCAAAACAATGAAACTGATAAAACAAACCCTAGAAATATAACTGTAGAATTGAGGCTACTAGAGGGTAAAGGTGGGGGGGGGTCAGGACAAGAGGGGAGGGGGCCTAAAGGTGTATCGTAAAGGACTGTGAGCGCCTTTTTAAAAAGCATAAAGTCAGATGAGGACTACATACTTGATCAGGACACTCAGGGTGGGTCAAAGAGAGGAGACAAGTCAGGACAAGAAAGAGCAGGCCAGGAACTTGAGTACTGGAGTCTGTCAGGAGCACAGGTTCAGAAGTAGGAACTTGGTAAGCGTGAGCATGAAATAGAGAACTTTGGGAAGGGGTGGTGGGAAAATCCTCAAATCTGGTCATCTTTGAGTCCTTTGTGAGCCCAATGCCCGATAATAAAGATGTGAGAAGCCCCACAGTTCTCAGCCTCTCTCCAGAGCTCTCCCAAGAGCTTAGCGGCCCAAGAGAAGGGTCTAAAACATTCACCTCTGTGTTCTCCAGCACTCCAGGACCTTGACCAATGCAGGTTGTTAGTAATTATAGACAGATGTGTGGAAAGCTATCACTTAAAGGGAAGTTTGTAGGTTTCAGTTCCCACACTTGCAAAGGCAGTAAGGGGTGGATTTCCAAGTAATTCAGAGTTACTAAATTCTATAATTTCATGTGCTCCTAGGTAAAAAGAAATACTATGAATAAATCATAATCTCTAAATCAACATAGTATTTTTATAGTTTTAAAAGTTCCAGATTCCCCATAGACACATGCATAAAACACTAATATTTCAAGGATACCTATGTATCTAACTACAGGTTGAAGAGACATCTGTTAAGTGCCCAAGAGTGGCAATCTGGGAGGGGAAAGGTGAATGGGAATATGGATGAGAAGTGAAAGGGAAAATATCAGGAAAAATAAGAGAGGGATCTTTCACTAACCATCATGAGGTCTTCCCATCAACTCAGTTGCATCTAAAGTCCAAGAGCACTCCAGAAAATTCTAGAGTCCTACACCCAGGAGAAGGCATAGCAGCATTTTATAAGAACCAAACTAGTATAAATAATTCTCTCCATTATTCTGAACAGATAAGGGGAATTTTGTTGTTACTTGTCTAATGTCTCTAAGGTGGTCTAAATCTGGAACAAAATACATATTCCCCCCCCCCCAAAACAAACTATTCCAAGAAGCCATCTTAATGAAGTCAGTTCACACTTCCAAGAAGTCTGAGGGGAGATTCCTCAATGCCAGAAAGAGGTCTTCAGAATGATGAGGTATCAATGGTATCAGCATTCATTCATTCACTCAATATTAACTTAGCATCTACTCACTGTGTCAAGCACTATATACCAGAGATTCCACTGAATAGCACAGGCAAAAGCCCTATGCCCCAGATATTTATATTCTAATTGAGAAAAGGCAGATAGATGACAGAGAGACAGAGAACAAGATAGAGACAAAGAGGAGGGAGTGTTAAGTGCTATAAAGAGAATAGAACAGCTACTTTAGAGAGTTAAGGAAGGTCCCTCTGTAGGTATAACCACTGACTTGAGATCAGAATGATAAAAGAAACCCACCATGCTGAAATCAAAGGGAAAGTATTTCAGCAAAGCACTATACCCCACATGAGAAGGTCATCATGGTTGATGAGAAGCAGAAAAATAGCCAGTGTGGCTGGAGTGCATTGGGCAAAGAGGACAGTGGTATGAGATGACAGCGGATAGTTGGGAGGAGATTCATCCTGAGGATTCTAGTGAGACAAGATAGGGTATGTGGATTTTCTACTGTGTTGCTATGCCACTGGAGAGTTTCAAGCAGGGCAAGGACAAGATCTAGGTTGCTTTCAAAGATTGCTCTCCAGTGTGTAGTGATGCAGTGATGGGGAACAAAAGAGAAAAAAGAAACCATGTGGGTGCATCTAGGTGAGGCAGGACAACAGTTTGGTCTCAAGTGGCTGCAGTTAAGACAATGACAATTATAGAGATTGGGGAATGCTATAGAAACAAAGCTGATGGGCCTTGCTGATGGGTCAGATGTGGAGAATGAGGGAAAGAGTAATGAACAGCACCTGCTAGATTTAGGACTTAAGTAGGTGAATATCATTCAAGAAGGAGAAACCAAATACTTTGCTTAATCTTTTATTATCTGTACTTCAAATGGTGCTGTGCAGCAAAGCACACTTTCCTTTAAAAAAAAAAAAAAAAAGGGTCCTCCCTGGTGGCGCAGTGGGTTAAAGCACTGCACTGAGAAGCTAAAAAGCCACTTCCGTATGAGTTCAATTCCCGCCTGCCCCGGAGGAGACCACATGGCGTGACAGACCTCTCCTGGCCCACCCGCTGCTCCCCTCAGCAGTGTACTTCATTGATCTACCTGTTCTGCTCCCCACTCTGTCTCTGGTGAAGCCTCTCACCACCCCTGAGCCTCTAGCCTGTACCACAGTTCTGTATACAC